GTGCTCCAGGGCAGGGGGGGGGGCACGGCCTGAGGTCCCCTAGCCCAGTGTCAGGGCGGAGGGCGCGGCCTCAGGTCCCATGGCCTGGGATGGGGGGCACGGCCTGAGGTCCCCTGTCAAGCCCCGCTGGGTGGGGGGGCGTGGCCTGTGGTTCCCCGTCAAGCCCCGCTGGGAGGGGGAGCACAGCCTCAGGTCCCCCGCACCGACCCGGCACCACGAAGCCTCAGGTCCTTGCTGATAGCTTATTATGGCTCGTTATGGGAACCCCGCCTCCACTGTGGGCACAGCCATCTTGTGATGGCATGAAGGAGTGAGGGTCAATTTGCATATCACCTCTTTATTGTTACAATATTATTGACTATACTAGAGGCCCGATGCACAAAATTCGTGCAAGAGGCTCGGCCCTTGCAGGTACGGTGGCTTGCCTCAGCCCTCGCAGCCCTGGCTTCGTCCACAAGGTTGGGAAGGGTAGCGGTCGTACGCTAATTACCATGTTTCTCTTTTATTAGTGTAGATTTTCTGAGCTGTACTTTACATCCCTGTGACTCTTTTTATAACTGTCAATTTGTACTTTTTAATCCCTTCACTTTTTTCACCCACCCCCTGACCCCCTCCCATCTGGGAACCATCAAAATGTTCTCTGTATCTGTGACCTTGTTTCTGTTTTGTTTGTTGATTTATCTTCTTTTTTAGTTCCGCATATAAATGAAATCATATGGTATTTGTCTTTCTCTGTTTGACTTACTTAGCATATTATTCTTTAGGTCCATCCATGTCTTAAAGATCCTTTAAACTAACTACAGAGGAAAATGATGCAGGCATTTTCCTAAATAAAATACAGAGAACTTTCCTCACCTGCAGGATACTTTTTCCCAAGCAAAATATTAGATTAATATAAAGATATCTTTGACCATTTTCTGGAATACGTTGTCTCTTTCTGAGGTCTAAATATTGGCTACAAAGAGATTGGCATTTATGCAATAAAATGAACTACTTGGGACGGGAGGTACATTTTTTAGAACTTTGCTTTGGGCTGTCTTGATAGTGAAAAAGAACATACAATAGCACCCACACAACTAAGCAGGGATTGCTTCTTCTTTTTTTGTTTTGTTAATCCTCATCCAAGGATATTTTTCTATTGATTTTTAGAGAGAGTGGAAGGGAGAGGGAGAGACAGAAAACATTGATGTGAGAAAGACACGCACCCCTACCTGGGTTGGGGAACCTGCAACCAAGGTACATGCCCTTGACTGGAATTGAACCAGGGACCCTTCAGTCTGTGGAACGCTTTGTCCACTGAGCCAAACCAGGTAGGGCAATAGGGATTGGTTCTTAGTACAATCAGGAAGAATTTAGTCCAGAAAACAATTGTTTCAGTGGTCACTGACCCAAAACTTCATTGCCAGTTAGGCATAAGGTCTTCGGGAGCTGGGGTCACCCTGACAAGAAGAGACTCCCCAGTTTACACTTTCCTCACTGCCCATCAATGCCTGTTGATATAATAAAAAATGGCAATGTGGAATGGTGTAGCCACTCTCGAGAATAGTTTGGCAGTTTTTTAAAAACTTGATAGAATTTAACCCATGTGACCCAGAAATTCCATTACTTGGGAATATATCTGAGAGAAATGAAAACATATGTTCACAAAGATTTGACAGAAATGTTCATAGCAGAATTATTTCTAACAGCCCCAAAGTGGAAGTAGCCCAAATGTCCATACATTGGTGAAGAGATAAACAAAATGCCCGTACAAATGAATATTATTCTGAAATTAAAAGAACAAACTGCTGATACATACTACAACGTGGATGCACCTTGAACACCTCTTGCTATATGAAGGGGCTAGGTGCAAGAGACTACATACTGTATGATTCCATTTGTATGAAAATTCCAGAAAAGGCAATTTATAGAGACAGTAGACTTAGTGGTTGCCTGGGGATTGGAGCTGGAAAAGCAATTGACTACAAATGGATATAAGGCCTTTTGGGAATGATGAAAATTAGATTGTGGTTATGATCGCATAACTCTGTAACTTGCTAAAAGTCATTGAATTGTACACTTAACATAAGTCAACTTTATGGCATGTAAATGAAAAAAGGTATACGCCTAGACCTGTGGGGATAGACATGATCACATGCTGCATATGTGACCTATGAAAACTGTGCTTTGGGGACACACCTCTCTGGCCCCTATAGGAGGAGCCTCTGCAGTGCTTACACACCATCCTCTGATGCCAGCCCTGAATATCCCAGGGGCCCAGCATATGGCAGTTTGTCATAAGCGAATGCAGTCAATAATCTTGATCTGATTCAGATAGATTACGGGCCCATCTGTGGTGCATTTCTCTTACTTTAGAAATGCTATTGTCTAGAAAATTACACTCTGAAATGCATCTTATTGGGAACTTTCCATAATTAGAATATCATTAAATAACCATTTTGTAGAAATAGCAGTATTATTAGAAACCACCTAATACCACACACTCATTTTATAGTTGATATCATAAGCTCAAAGAGGTTAGGTGACTTGCCTGACGTAGTTCTAGCTAGTAACACACATGGACCTGGAACTGGTTCTTACTGTATAATACTCAGTGTATCCACATTTGTTTACATCATTCTATTTCCTAAATACATTCTAAACTACGTGGTTAATTATAAGTTTGCTTCATATACAAACCTAGCACAATACATTCACCATTTGAAGATGCACGCCTTGGACTTCTAATAGGATAAAAGAACGACTAGTGACACAGTATGCATGCGGTGGTAAGCCTACCCACTCTGTACCATGGATACCAACTAGTTCATCACACC